TCTACCTATTGTTTTCTCATATATTTCTCACTTCGTTTGTTAATATAATTTCAATTATACTTTCAGGCCGCTTCGCGGCCCTTGTATAATTGGGATTTTACTACATAATTCCTTTTTTTAGCTTTCCAACATTACAGATTTTGCTAGTGGACACCAAAATTCCAAGARGCACTGGAAAGATGGTTTCTGGCTTAAAAGAAAGGTATAAAGAGGTATGGTCACTAGGAGAATTCGTGATTTTTGTTTGACATACAATGACAAAAAAATAAGACCAAAGAGCTCAGAATGGATATACATACTAATTATATAATGCTTTCAAATGAATTTATTGTATATCCCACACATGACTTGTATTTGCCATGTGTACACAGGCTTTAGACAAATGTGTACATGTACACAAAAGTGGGATATTCCATGGCATGCCACGAGAAAGTATTGTATAGCTAGTATATACGAGTGACAAGTGGGATATTCCATGGTGTACCATAAGAAAGCATTGTATAACTATTATATACAAGTGACAAGTGGGATATTCCATGGTGTGTCATGAGCAAGTATTGCATAACTATTATATACAAGTGACAAGTGGGATATTCCATGGTGTGCCATGAGAAAGCATAATGTATCACTATTATATACAAGTGACAATTGGGATATTCCATGGTGTGACTCGAGAAAGCATCGTATAACTATTATATACAAGTGACAAGTGGGATATTCCATGGTGTGCCATGAGAAAGCATTGTATAACTATTATATACAAGTGACWAGTGGCATCTTCCATGGTGTGTCATGAGAAAGCAGTGTATAACTATTATATACAAGTGACAAGTGAGATATTCCATGGTGTGTCATGAGAAAGCATTGTATAACTATTATATACAAGTGACAAGTGGGATATTCCATGGTGTGCCATGAGAAAGCATTGTATAACTATTATATACAAGTGACAAGTGGGATATTCCATGGTGTGCCATGAGAAAGCATAATGTATCACTATTATATCCAAGTGGCAAGTGGGATATTCCATGGTGTGCCACGAGAAAAGATTACACAACTATTTTATCCCACAATAAAGAAAAATCAAATGTAGAGATTCAATGTACAGTGCATGATGGGAAGGTTGAGTGAAATATCAATGAATATATGATGACTTTCTTTTATTCTAATTGGCTTATTTTCTATGGTGTGGGATTTATATGTAATGGTTGTGCGTGAGAGTGAAAATTGTCCCCAATTAGTGCAAAAGTGCTAAAACAATCCATTAGAYACAAGTGAAAAAAAGTTTTTTTTTTCAGTTTCCCTCGATCTATGCACCGTTATTCGATGCAGTTGGTGGTATTACAACTGAAGGGCTAAAGATCCTAAGGACATTACATTACCAACAACAATGTGAGTTTTAAAAAAATCCTTCCTAAGGATGTAATAATTTATGAGGGGAAAAAATAGGGAATCTGTTATCTGGCTGCGAGTATCATAGTGAGACTCCCAGATTTGGACATGGGAGGAAGGGGGCCAACGATTGCACTGTCAACAATATAGCTCTATTCTTTTAAAAAAGGTCAAAATTTCAACATAGTGAACCTGACCGAAAATAGAAACTACAAAAAGTTTGTTTGTTAGCTTCTTTTTTAAAGTGTAGAACTATATTGTTAACAGTTGAGTGGAATATGTACGTTGAATCTGTTATTCGTCACGAGACGTCTTGTCAACGACAATACCATACCATTGGCCATGCTACTTTGTCTTTGTTTTGCTATTATTAAGGTGGATGGGGCATGGACAGTTTTCCGGGAGTTAAATATAATCAACGAAAATCATGCTCAATAAAAAGTGTTTACTTCCGATAGAAATAAAAATTAGAAATCGGGAACATATGTTTTTGATTTTTGGCAAGTCTTTGAACGCATACGCTCTTATACCTGAAGTCCAAGAAATCCTGTTCTCAAAAAATAGATTATGCCAGAGCCCTCGTTCTTTGCCACAGGCTCGAAGAAACGCAGGCTCTGGATACGAGATTGATGGACAGTCCGCAGCCCGCAATCTGCAACGACAGCTACTGGGCTTGCGCATACTGTCTGATATAAACGTTAAGGAATTAGCACATTTGCCTTATCACGTTAACCTGAGTATCAGGCCTATGGGGGCCTGGGGAGAAGGGGAAGTCTGATACTCAGGTTAGTATCACGTGTGAAAAGAGTTTGTCTCTCCGTTGATTCGAGGGGTTTTCTGGTTTCCCTCCCTCTGCAAAATCTAATTAACTATATCAAGTAAATTCAAATTCGATCTGGGAATTATCTGTGTCCTGACTTAGATTCATCCCAGGTTTTGATAACATTTGAATTTGAATTTCTGATGTACCGTAATAAGGCATGTTTTTTCTCTCTATGTATAGATATGTCAAGTCAGAGTTCTGACAGGAAATTCAGCTTTCATAAACTTGAGGTGGGTAATTTAAAGAGGTTAACGTGCCAGAAGGTGCGGATAGGTCAGAAGGTCCGGTCCGGTATTAGGCGGTCAGAAGGTCCGGATAGGTCAGAAGGTCCGCTGTTAGGCGAAGGCACAGTTTTTCCCTATCCGGACCGACTTCAGTACATCCAAGTTTTTTCCCATTTACTTTTAACTTGTTTTTCAATTTTTGGTGTTGTTTTTGTTTAACGATCCGTTATCCCAGGAAACCGGATAGCGGTTAGAGATAGAAAATACTGCCCGCTCGCACAGTCACAGAACATACGATTCTTAGAGTACAAGACCGGAAAAAATAAGATTATTTATTTTCTGCCGGAATAGTCCTTTCTTTTCCTCTTCCTGCTTCTCCTAGTTTTCGCAAATTGTTTCCAACTGTTTTATTCAAACCGACTTATAATAGCTACTAGAGACTTGAGTGGGCCGTGAAACAAAGTCGTATAATTAGTAAGTAGCAGTCAAACAAGAGAAAATGATGCAGTAGAATGTTTTTTATTAATTAGAGTGTAAGAATATAATTAGTGTATAAGAATTATCGTGAGGTAGTGCTTTTAAAATACTCTAAAGTGTATTTCAGGGGTTTATGTAAACCACTCTAAGTGTCTACTGCTATCTATTATACGTACTGTTGTCATTTATTGTTTTGACTAAGAAATATTAGTTGTAGACCATTTAACAATTGGGTTCCTGGTTCGAACAGGATACGGGTCAACAGCGTGAAATTTGAAATGCGCGATCTGAGACTAAAGAGAATTTTGCGGTTTAATGTCTTCTGACTCAAATACGAAAAATCACATTTCTAACTCAAAGATCATAACACCAAATCTTACACTGACTAGCCTAGTGTTCACGTGGAAACATGAARGCGTTTTTACATATAAGAGAGGCTAGTCAGTCCAGAACAATATTTATTTATATTAGTCGTGATATTTCAATTCGGTGTATAGAGGAACCTTTTGGTGAGCCTCAAAGGACGGAAGATTCTCGTTGGATACCCCCTGCCCCCAACCTCATATGTCTACCCCCAAAGAAAGAATCAACTCAATATAGACCCTTTTCGAGTTCCAAATTACTGTGTTCCTTGATTACAGACTCCTTTACTCAGGCTTAGCCTCGCATCAGTGTTTAAATATTCACAAATACCAACGGTAAAGTAAAGAATGCACAACTTCAACAATACAAACACTTTGAAATTCGACGGACCTTGACTAAGAGACGTGAATATTCTTCACGAAATCGAGGCTAAGCCTGAGTAAATGAGTCTGTAATTAAGGAACACAGCGGTAATTTGGAACTCGAAAAAGGTCTATTGTGATGATCTTTGTATTAACATTATTTACATGGGATAATCTTCTGCCATTTGCCTCAGACATTGATTGACATGAATCAACAACTGTTAGCTGTTATGGGTGTCAGTCATCAGACCCTGGATCGGCTGTGTCAGGTTACTGCCAAGTTCAATCTACATTCTAAGTTAACCGGTGCTGGTGGAGGAGGTTGTGCTATCACTTTGATTAGTGAAGGTATGATGAATGATAATAGTGATGATGATGATGGCGAAGATTAATATTAATAGTCAAGTGATGATGGTGTGATGATGATGATGATGATGAATGATAATAGTGATGAAGATGATGATGATGAATGATAATAGTGATGATGATG